TCAAATCCCAGTACGACCAAAAAAAATCTATTTTTTTTAACAAAAGAAGAAAAAAGTCTTTATTAATGCCGGGCGCCAGTGGCTCACCCCTGTAATCCTAGCTACTCAGGAAGCAGAGATCAGGAGGACTGAGGTTCAAAGCCAGCCAGCGCAAATGGTTCACAAGACCCTATCTTGAAAAACCCTTCACAAAAAAAGGGCTGGTGGAGTGGCCTAAGGTGTAGGCCCTGAGTTCAAACCCCAGTACCACCAAAAAAAAGAAAGAAAGGAAGGAGGAGAAAAGAAAGAAAATAAAATGAGTAGGTGGAAATGGTGTCCCAGGCTTGGGCCTCCTAAGTGAGGGATGGCTGGGGTCTGGTTCAATGAATGCACCCTGCAGTTCCAGGGGTAGGCTGGAGGCCAGGGGCTTCCAGAAGCATCTCAGAGAGGCAGGAATGGGAGGCTCCAGCTGAGATTCACAGCCAGCATGCGCACTGTGACCTGTTGCCTAGGGTCTGGGGCTGTAGGAAACCCATTAGTGAGAAAGAGGAAAATGCAGCCAGGAAAACAAGAGTCAGGCCAGCCCCATCCGGCCTCCCTGTTCTGTGCATTAGGAGGGGAAGGATGGGGGATCCTTGTGAGCCCCTCCTGAGGACAGGGCTATCAACAGAGGGCTTACAACCCCCTCAAAGCAGGAGCGCCTGCTCCAGGTGGTCTGGGTGCCAAATGCCACATCCTGGGGAACTTGGCCCCTCCTCCTCTCCTGGCAGCCCAGGGATTGCAGTTCCTGTTTTCCTGCTCTGATTCCTGGTCATATTTTTCCCTTTTTACAAGACATAGATAGGGCAGAGTGCGGGTTGAGCCTCAGTCTGGGGAGGGGCTGGGGCCTGATTCCCTCTGTCTCTCCCCCTGGTAGCCAAAGAGGGTGCTGAGGACAGGGACTTGGGACCTCCAGGCTGGGATGGACCCTCCCCCACTGAGCTCTTGGTTCAGACCTTTTGTCTCCTAAACTGGCACCCTTTTCCTCACTCTGTCGCCCTCTAGTGTCTGATTGCTGGCACCACATTCCATCTTCCGTCCCAGGTTTCTGGAACTGCCCATCCTTGGACTCATTTACTCGCTTACTCATTCAACAAATGTTTCAAAGGTGGGTGTGGAGATAAGACGTGGTCTGGTCTCCAGAAGCTCAGAGTTTTGGGGAGAGACAGATATGTCTGCAAATAGGTGACTGTGACAAGAGCCTAAAAACAGCTCCCTCGAGGAACCCAGTGCATGACAGCTGGGGGTCGGAAGGCTCCATGGAGGAGTTGGTTAAGCTGAGCCTGGGATAGTGAGTACATTTGGATCTGTGCAGGGGGCATGACCAGGGGTCAAGGGCAGTGAGGGGGTACCATAGGACCTTAGAAACCGCTTTTGCTAAAGTGCACTGGGCCTACAAACGTCCAAGAGGTAACAAAAAGCAGGAGAAAATTTGCCATCCCTACCTCCATTTTGTATCTTTTTTTTTTTCTTTTGGCAGTATTGGGGCTTGAATCCAGGACCTCACACTTGCAAGGCAGGTGCTCTACTTCTTGAGCCCCCTCATCAGCCCTGGATCTGTCTTTGCTCTGAGCTATCTCTCTATAGCCACCTTGGCCAGGAAGGACAGGACTGATTGATGACATCTTGTGACAAGAGTTGAAACTGCCCCCTAGGAAAGGATCAGCAGAGCCTCGAGGCACAGACCACCCCCAAATGAGGACAAAGACCTGTGAGGAGGAGGCTGCACCCTGGAGCAGGAGGAATCATCTCACGGGGACCAGATGGCTCCCTCAAGTGACGACAGCGATACAACTTCTTGAACCCCTCACAGAACCAGAACTGAGACCACACTGTGACCAGGACTGCGTAATTCTGCAGCCTCCATAATTCTGCATCCTCCCTCCCCTGCCCCAATTCTCCTTCTGTTTAATCCTAAAGCTCACTCTGCACCCTGAAGGTGGCTGGAGGGCTTACTTTGCCTCTTCCTGTGGCCACCCATGCAAAATAATAAACTTCTTATCTCTGCCCTTCACCACAACTCTTTATTTGGTGGATTGGGGCAAGTGGCTGGACCTGATATGTTGGAACTCCCCAAATAGTTGGGCCGCTGGCCTAGAACTCCTGGTTACAGGGAGACAAGGTTGGAGGATGGAAAATTCCAGGTGAGATCATTTGGAAGGCTTTGGAGCTAGTGAACACTGTGCTTGGCACATAGCAAGTGTTTAAGAAGTACTTTTGGGTGGGCATGGTGGAGCATGTCTGTAATCCCAGCTGCACAGGAAGCAGAACTATGAGGATTGTGGTTGGAGGCAGGGAAAAAGCTCAAGACCCTATCTGAAAAACTAAAGCAAAAGGGGCTAGGAGTGTGGCTCAAGACATCGACCCTGAGTTCAAAGCTCAGAATTGCAAAACAGAAGTGATTTGGCTGGGCATGGTGGCATATGCTTGTAATCTCAGTGGAGACAGGGAAATGAGTGTTCGAGATCAGTGAATGATCAGTACATTTTAGAAAGAGTGGGAGGGCTGGGCACCGTGGCTCATACCTGTAATCCCAGCTATTCAGGAGGCAGAGGTCAGGAGGATTACGTTTAGAAGCCATGCCCAGCAAATAGTTCTCAAGACCCTATCTTGAAAAAAACCCATCACAAAAAAGGTGTAGGCCTTGAGTTCAAGCCTCAGTACTGCCAAAAAAAAAAAAAAAAAAGAAAGAAGAAAGAAAGAAATTAAATATTAAATAATTGCAGTGCACACCTGTAATACCAGCACTTGGGAGGCAGAGGCTGGAGGATTAAGAGTTCAGGCATTCACCCCTATAATCCTAGCTACTCAGGAGGCAGAAATCAGGAGGATTGTGGTTCAAAGCCAACCCAAGGCAAACAGTTCTCAAGACCCCATCTCAAAAACACCCAACCCAAAAAAGGGGTGGCACAGTGGTTCAAGTGATAGAGTGCAAGGCCCTGAGTTCAAACCCCAGAGCTGCCAAAAAACTAAAAAAAAAAGTTCAAAGCCAGCCTGGGCTGCATATCAAGATCCTGTCTGGAACAAAACAAAAACACCAGGGCATCTCTGAAAACTTCCTCTGATCAGCAACAGAGCCAGTGGCCACGTCAGGAGCAGAACTGAAAAGGGAGGCTCTGGGGACATCTCCTGTGTTGTGGCTCATGCAGAGAAGGGAGCCCTTGTCACATCAGCTGCACCCTCAAAAGAGGTGGCCCAGGGCCCTTCACCCAAGGTCCTCAAAGGGTGTTGGCGTCTGTGAGGGCCCATGTTTTGGTGGGCCTGAGCCTGTTCTTCTGGGGGCTGGGGTCTCTGTTTCTGAAGGATTCAAAACAAGGTTAAAATTCAGCACTCGGAGAGAGGGACAAGAGGCAGAAGGAAGAAAAAGTTTAAGGGCTTCCTGGTCGGAGGAAGATCTCGGATCTGATTTCCTTCCCACTTGAGCTGCAGGGGTCTCTGCAGATTCAGAGGCAGGGGGATGGACAAATTGGGCCCTGGCTCCTTGGTGCCAGCTCCTCTCCCTGGGTCCTGTGATGGAGTCTGAACCCCTCTCAGTCCTCGGAGAGACTGCCCCCAGGCCCTCCCTGTCCTCCCCATCCTTCCCAGGTACCCACATTCACGGAGTCCTCTCTCACCACCTGCCATCCGGGCACCGAGTGTTTTATTAAGAGTCCAGTTATTTTATCCGCACCGCGGAGGAAGGTGTGGGGGGAAATGGAGGGGAACCGGGACCAGACCCCAGATCCCAGACTCCTCCCCCAACAGGGCCCAGAGCATCTGCCCTGTTGAACCAAGGAAGACTTCATGAGATCCCTGAGGGCCCCAGGAGGAGGGGGCTGGGAGCCATAGAAGAGGAGTGGGCCTCTGCTTTTCCATTGATGCCCCTTGGCCAGAGCCTACCTCCCTCTCTTCCAAGAGCTGTACCAACCCTGCTCTGGGGGAGCTTTAGTGGACCCTCATTCCAGGGCCAAAACCCAAGAAAGAACCTCCCCGAGCAGGCCCCTGTGTCTGTGACTACGTTCTGCCATCTGCCCATGTCCTGGGTGTCTGCACGCACTGCCCTCCTCCGGGGGTGCTGAGCACTGTTGACCTGTCCCCCACCCCATCCCAGTTGCCCTTGGCCTGCTCGGTTGTCTGCCTGCATTGTTTTGCCCCATGCTCACTAATTTCTCTGACGTCAGTCATCCCTGTCCTCTATCTGCCTCCTGACCTGAAACCCTTGACCTCAGGGTCAGATGTAGATGAGGTCTGGACCCCCACCTCTTGTCCTGCCAAGGCCTGGCTGGTATGACCTTGGCCCAGAACTTGGGATGAGGGCTAGAGGAAACAGCCCAGCCTGGAGAGATGGGACCAAGAGTGAGCGCCTGGCAGCCCCTGCTGGGCCAGGGGAGGGTCTCCAAGAGGCTGTGGGGCCAGCCACCAGCCCTCAGCCAGAGTCCTCCTGCAGCCAGCTCAGGAAGAAGCAGCGCCCCAGCCTGGAGGGCGGCCCGCCAAGGGTTAGGCCATTATTCCTTTTGTCTAGCTTAGACCCAGCATGCTGTGCCATTCCTGATCTGCCCAGTGAGAGAGAGGGTCCTGTGGAGTGGGGAGGGGAGGCTCCCAGGCCTGGCACCTTCCGAGGTGTGCCAGGGTCCACTGAGCTGAGTGAGGTGAAGTGACAGCAGACTGTGACTCTTGTGCCATTCATCGGCAAAGGCTCAGGCCTCGTGAGCTGGCGTTAAGCAGGAAAGAGGGCAGGGCGATCCCTGTGTTCTAGACGGCTCTTTGTTCCCTGGACATGGTGGCTGGGCAGGAGGTGGGGGGGTGCACTCTAGGAGCAGCACCATTTGGCTCCTCCATACGGGCAGGGCACCCACCCTCGAGGTCTTGCCTGGTCCCACCTGCCCATGTGCTAGCCCAGAGACCTCTCTGTAGTAGTGTGGGGGGATGCAGGTCCCCCACCCCCAGGTCCTGGGGCCCGGCCTCTGCCTGTGCCAGGGGACCCCAGCTGGGTCTGTCTGCGCTCAGAAGCCCCCACTCTCAGAGCTACTCCGACTGTGGTAGCTGGGACTGGGGGTCCGGGAGGGGCTGCGTGTGCGGCTGCGGGTCCCATGACTGTGACTGCTGTAGCTCCCGTGACTGTGGCCAGGGCTGGGGCTGCTGCGACTGTGGCTCCGGCTTGAGTAGTCACTGCTCAGGCAGCTGGAGGAAGAAGGGCTGGGCCGGTAGTAGGGGATGGGACGCTTGCGGGCACTGTGAGGGAAGGAAAAGTGGATTACAGGACACTCAGGACCCAGAGCTCTGCCCATCCACAGCTATTACGCAGGCCCAGCTCCCATCCCAGCAGTGGCCAGGGCTTCCTGCCTCAGTTTCCCTTGAGTCTTGGCCTTAAGGACACCCCCACCAATTCCACATTGATCATTTTGTTATTTCTTGCCTGTCTGCAAGGAAAAGGCTTGATACCATTTGAGCAACACCTCCAGCTCCTTCTGCTTTAGGATACTTTTCAGATAGGGTCTTGAGGGTCTTTTTTCTTTCTTTGCCCAATGCTGGCCTTGGACCTTGATCCTCCTACCTATGTCTTCTTTGTAGCTGAGATTACAGACATGCACTATCATCCCAGTTTATTTGTTAACATGGGGGTCTTGATAGCTTGGGCTAGTCTTGAAACTCGATCCTCCCAATCTCTGCTTCCTAAGTAGCTGGAATTACAGATGTGAGCTATCACACTAGGCCTGAGTGACTTTTTCAATGTGGATGACTCACCACAATTAAGCCTGGCAAGGGCTTTTTTTTTTTTTTTTTTTTGGTATTGGGGATTGAACTCAAGGCTTCACACTTGGTAGGCAGGCACTCTAGGCTTGAAACACACCTCCAGCCCTTTTTTCTCTTCTTTTCTTTTTTTGGTACTAGGGATTGAACTCAGGGTCTACACCTGGAGCCACTATGCCAGCCCACTTTTTGTGATGGTTTTTTTGCGATAGGGTCTTGAAAACTATTTGCCCAGGCTGGTGTCCAACTGTGATTCTCTCCTGATCTCTGCCTTCTGAGTAGCTAGAACTATAGGCATGAGCCATTGGCGCCGGGCTTTTCTGGCTATTTTTGAGATAGGGGCTCGCTTTTTGCCCAGACCTGCCTGGACCTGGATCCTATTTTAGGCTTCCTACTTTAGCTGGGATGACAGGTGTGCGTCACCATGACCAGCTGTTTCTGTTGAGCTGGAGTCTCTAGAACTCCCCTCCCACCCCCCGGGGGCTGGCCTGGGACATCAGGCACAAGCCACCACACCCAGCTACTGGTTGAGATAGAGTTTTGAGAACTTTTCCCCAAGGATGGCCTGGGACCTCTCTCTCTTCTCTATCTCAGCCTCCCAAGTAGCTAGGATTACAGGTGTGAGCCACCTGTGCCTGGCTCAGGGGCTTCTTTGCCTGGAAATGTGTGAATAGGACCCAGTCCCCCATGGAATCAAGGACTTGGGCTTTTTAGGTCACTCAAAGGGAACAAGGAGGGGACCCCTGGCCACGGCTACCCATGTCCGAGGCCCAGCCCAGTCCTGCTGACCCCTACTCCTCATTCAGCTACCTCCCACTGGCCCGGAGTTAGTTTGAAGGCAGGAGGCTATTACCGAGAGACGAGAAAAGAAAGTGGTTAAGGAGGTTACAAATGCCCCATCTTGGGGTTAATTCTGAGGAAGAAAACGGTTGTGCGTTAGTGGGAGGAGGAGGTAGCCTAGGAAGGGGGCTGAAGTGGGTGCCTGGTGGAAGGCGTGGTCATCTGGCCAACTTAGGATCCCCAACCTATGAATGGGGTGTGTGTGACCTGTCTGGAGGGTGTCCCAAGCATCGCTTGTCTGGCCTCTAGCTCTGGGTGGGGGAGGAGCCAATGTTCTCTCCTCCTTCAGAGACTGGGGTCATCCTGGACTAGGAAGAACTAGTTTGACAACTATTGGGAGAAGAAAAAGATGCCTGGGTGCACCTGATACCCAGAGAGGTACACTAGTCTCTCCAAGGCTGCCCGGCAAGGCAGGGCAGAGCCCGGCTTAAGACTTTGCCTGTGGCCCTCCATTCATGTCAGAGTAATCCAAGGCTACAGTGATTCACACGAAGGCAGACCACAGTCTCATCTGGTGACAAGGCCAAGACCCCTCAATTCCTAGCAGAGAGCTGGCCACAGACCACAGCTTTCACCATCCAGCCATCCCCCTGGTTGTGTGGTGTTCCTGGGACAGCTGCCATGGAGACCAGACTGCTGTGCCTCCTCCTCCAATTCTCCGGGGAGCTGGGAGGTTAGTGAGACTAGGAAAGGCAGACAGACGGACAGCTGACCAGAGCCAGACCAGCTCACATGGGTAGAGAGGGGTCCACCTGGCCCCCAGGCTGGCCACAGGCCACTCAGCAGGCTGGACCTTGAGATGAAGGAGAAAAAGAAATGTCACTGTCCACACTGGGGAGGGAGGGAAGGGATCCAGAATGGCTGGACTCTGCAGAGCTGAATTCCATGGGTGCCGCCCTCCACCCAAACCCAAGTATAGAACCCCTCTCCTCCATGGGGCCTTTCAGGAGGCTCCTCCACCTCTGTTTCCCATCCCCCAGCCCCACCCCTCGGTGAGCTCCACTGGGCCCTCCTTCTCTCAGAACCCACCACCTCTCTTTAGCTCCCTCTCCCTTTGCTGAAGCTCCCTCTCCTCCAGTTTGAGGATCAGTCGATCCTGGTTACAAAGTCGGGTTGTGGCCGTAGTCCCGCGCCCCTTCCCACCCCCTAAAGTCCCTTGGTACCTGGTGATGCGCCTAGGCTCCATGAAGCTGGGCGAGTCGCGGCGCCGCTTGCGGATGGGTGAATAGCTGCGGGAACGGCGCCGGGCGCGGGCGGCCTCGGCGTCAGTGTGCCTCGCTCGGCCCTCGCCGTCCTTGTCCCTGCAAAACCCGCCCGAGGTGAGCGATGTAGCCTGCTGCCAGCCCCGCTGTCCAAGCCCTGCGCCCGGGTTCCTTGCTGTACGCGTTCTGGAGCAGGGTTCCCACCATCTGAGCCCTGGGCTTCGACTCCCCGCCATCCACCCCTCCTCAGGCCGCAGCACCGGCGGGGCGAGCGGGCGGGCACTCACCGGCCGAGGGCTTTCTTGGGTGACGATGAGCGGCTGGGGCTGCGGTTCCTCTTCTCCGGGGAGCGCGAGCGTGATTTGGAAGGCGATCGACTAGAGCTCCAGGAGCGCGGGTGGGGACCGGGACTGCGCGACGAGCTCTTCCCGTCCGGGCCGCTCCGCCTGCCGTGCGGGCCGGGGGAAGGCGAGGTGCTGGCGGGCCGCGCGCGCGGGGGCCGCTCCTTCGTCCTAGAGGAGGGGACACCAGGAGCCGGTTTAGGGAGGAGTGGAAGGGTTCTATCCGGAGGAGCTCAGTAAGGAGAGGGGGGCTGAGTAAGGAGGGGAGGGGTCAGTGAGGGGGGAGCTTGTGCGCGGAGGGAGAATCACCGTAGGCTGGAGCCCTGTGGATAGAGGATGTTGGAGAATGACTGGGGGAGGGTGTTGGAGAATGACTGGGGGAGGGTGTTCCATGGCGGGGGGGAGGGGCGATCAACGGGGTAGCTTTGTAGGGAGACAGTGTTCCATGGGAAGTTGGGATCAATGGGGGTTGAGATCAGTCGGGGGAGAATAATGCGGGAGGACGGTAACTCCGTGGGGGAGTTGGCATCAGTGTGTGTGGGGGGGTCGCGCCACGGAGAATGGCCAATGACGGTGGGGTTTGTGAGGGTTCCGTGAGGGGGGCTGACCAATGAGGGGGCGCACCATGGAGGTTGATCATTGAAGGGAGGCTCGTGGGGGTGACCAACGGGGAGCTTTTGGGGGGGGTTACTGATGAGGGGACACACCGTGGGGGTGACCAATGAAAGAGGGAGTCCTGGGGATGACCAATGAGGGGGTGATCAATGAGTGGGGCGCTCTGTGGGGGGTGACCAAGGAGGGGATGCTCCGTGGGGAGTGACCAGTTAGGGCGCGTCCGTGGGGCGTGACCAATGAGGGGGCTCCGCGGGGGGGGTGACCAGTGCGTGGGGCGCTCCGTGTGTGGAGGGGGCAGGAGGCCGACTCACCGTTTCCCGTGTCCGCCGTGGCCTCGCTCAGACCCGGGCTCGGGCCCGGGGCCCGGGGCGCCCCCGCCGCCGCCCGAGTCGCTGCTGGAGTGCGCCCTGCTGAGCGAGCGCGAAGATCCCCGGGGCGGCGCGGGCCGGGCACGCCGGCGACCCCTGCGGCGGGGCGCGGACGCCGAGGACCGCGAGCGTCGCCGCCGCCTCCTCCTCCGCCGCCGCCTGGCCTCCCCGCCCGCCGTGCGACCTCCGCGGCCCTGCGACGACGGCGCCGAGCGCGGGCTCTGGCTGTCCTTGCCCCGCGCGGGCGGCGTGGGTTCGGCGTGGGTCGCCGTTTTGTCGCGGGCCCTGGGCGAGGGCGAGCTGGGCTTCTGACGGGGAGAGAAGGCAAGAGAGGGCACGGAGGGGCGGAGAGGGAGACGCAGAGACAGCGATGGGGAGGGATGCGCCGGGGAGAAGGACAGAGAGGTGGACAGGAAGAGAAGGTGAGAGCACAGGGAGGAAGTCAAAGAAGCAGAGAGGGAGATGCAGGGGACAGATCCAGAGACAGAGCAGAGGTTGGGGGTGACAGAGCGGGCGGACGGGGTAGGGGGAGAAAAGGAAAGAGGGCTTTCACCGGGCCCAGGCCGCGGGCTGCCAGTCCCGGAGCATCGCACACACGGTTCCCCGCGCCTGCCCTGCCTCTGCCTCTCCTGAGTGTCCACCTTCTGGCCCTCGACAGTGCAGCTCATGCAAGGTCTCAGCATGCAAAACACAAGAGGGACGGAGCGGTCGGGGGCTGCAGGGGAGGGGGCTCCAGGACGGGCACTGGGGCTAGCATTGCCCCCCCCCTCGCATGGGAGGACGATTCCCGGCAGAGAGAAGAGAGAGGGGCGGCACCGGGAGGCCAGGCCAGGGCCAGCCCACCAGGCCAGGCGCCCCCCCCCCAGCGCAAGGGGACTGGGCAGAGGGGATGGAGGGGGGTCACACGGCACACAGATAGGGGAGGGGGGCGGGGCGGGACAACTGAACTCAAAACTCAACCGAAGAAAGGGAGGAAAAACAGAAATTAAAAAAATAAAATAAAACCACAAATGTCATTAGATACCAAAATCAAAAACAATGATCTTCTGGGGGGAAATCTGACATTTTTTTTTTCTGTTAATAATTTTCTTTCTTTGTTTTTCGGCCCTGCAGAGAACTCTGGAGCTGTCAGTAGCTGACCCGACTGTCTTTCTGTTTCTCTCTTTTCTTTTTCTTTTTTTCTTTTTTCTTTTTTTTTTTTAAAGCTCTGATTTTTAAGTCCCTCTTGGTTAACGTCCACTTACCAACAAAGTGGCACTTCCTCCTTTAGTAGGTGAGTTGTGTAAGAAAAGGGAAAAGTGTGGTAGCATGAGTTCATCATTAGAGTCACAAAAATGCAAGAGAGATAGAGAGAGAGAGAGAGAAACGCAACCACCCCACTCTAGGCCTGAGAGGAGGCCACAGGCCTCTGGAGGGAGGGAGGGAGGACCGGCAACACCCAGCTCCTTGGGCCTGAGCCTCCCGGCTGACTGCTGGATAGAGATATGGAATGTTTGTTGTTGTTTTTTTTTTTTTCCTTTTTCTTTCTTTTTCAAAAGTGGAGTTAGGACACAAGGGTCAGTATATAAGTACACCATCCAAAGGGCCCTGGCTGGGAACCAAGAGTTTGAGAGCCTACTACTACCTCACCAAAGGACCCTGGCCAAGTCACGTCCCCAGTATGGGCCTCAGTTTCCCCATCCGACAAATGAGCAGGAAGCAATTCCTGATGTCTCCTTCAGGGCAAATATTCCAGTATTCTCTGCGTGCCCCAGACCCCTCCCCTTAGCCCTCCTTACACAGAACTGACCCTCCTTCCTATCCTTTGGGTCCCCATCTTGTAAGAGCAGATGCTCCTTGTAGGTTTTTACAGCCCAACCCCACTCTCCAGTCATCATCACCAAGTTGACTTTGAACACCATCAAGTGTAACTGATATCAGATTTAGCTCTATAACCTCTGTTTTTAGCATAAAATCTGACACATTTCTGAGGAAGAACTGACCTCATAAGGGCCCTGGCCAACCAAGGAGTTATGTTGTGTGGGCCGTATCAAAGCAACGGGTACCCCAGCCTCTCTCTGCAAGTCTGAATGGAGCCTGAGCAGGGATGTATAGCCAGGAAGTCCATCCCATTGGTGGGAATGCACAGCCAGCTCATGATTGGTGGCCGAAGCAGCCAATGAACACCAGTCATATCTGTCTTGCACAGCTACCCAAAGCCAATAGGGCCATGAAGACCTCTCCCAGTAGAGAGCGGTGTCTCCATTTGGGGCACAGACAGGCTCAGGTAGGCAGAGGGGATATTACCTGGTAGCTAAGTGCCCCTCTGAGTAGCCTTGACTTTCCTGATCCCCAGCTCACCCCATGCCCTAAGCTGGGAGAGGTGGAGGCTGGGTCAGTTGTTCAGCCACAGCCCCTCCAAAATGGCAGTCCCCCTGTCAACAGAAATCCCTAAGAAACCTCAGCTCCCCACTTGCAGGTGGCCAATGAATCATGACTCCCAAGTCCCAGCCTTGGTTCTCTCATTCAGCATTCTTTTCCCTCCAGAAGGCAAGTGAGAAAGACACCGTAAGACCCTCAAATTTGTCCTATGGCCTTTGGTGGTCAGAGTGCCAAGTCAACAGACTCCAGGTGGGGACAACTCAGGAACAGGTGCCCTACGACCTGTGACCCCTCCTTTAAGAAATATGCTTTCTACTCCTTTCAGGGGCATGGCCAAGGCCATCAGGCAGAGTACTACACTTAGAATCAGGACCCGGATGTGAACATGGCTCCAATCCAGAATCTAGATCTGAGCCAGTGACTTCTGACTCATGGCAAGGGGCCAGCAGTGGGGGGAGGGAGACCAAGGGTGTGATAGTTTTTCCCATAGTCATGCAAGGCCCCAGCTTCCCACCGTCTTGGGCTGCAAGCAGAGTGGAGTGCACAGGGTTTGGGTTGGATGGCTGCACACTGCTTGGGTCTAAGCCTTGGGTCAGATCTCCTGTGAAAAGCTGGCTGTTTCTCGCCTGATGTGCCTTGAAGTCTAAGCTCCCTATCTTCCCTCCTATCTCTTCTAAGCCAACCGGTCAACCCTAGCTCAAGTGGCACACCCTGGATTCAAGTTTTCTATGAGACCAGTGGAAGGTCTCATGTTGGGGGGCCCCAGTCTTCTCATTGGTAAGATGGGGATAATTGGAGTCTTTGCTGGATTGGTGGGGTTCCCTCACAAACTAACAAGATCAGAGCAGGGCAGGAAGGACTAGCGGCCCCATCAAGGGGGTCCCCAAGCCTCAGGATGGTAGAGGACAGGCAGAAGGTGCCACTGGAGAAGGTGTCAGATAGGGCTTTCCCTGGGGGATGTCTCCCAAGACCAATGTCACATCTTTCTCCACACATCCCTCCAGAAGTTCTCAAGAAAAGGGTCACCATGATCCTGCCAGAGGCTGAGCCTTGTCCTCAGCTTGGCTGGGTCTCATTCTTCCCAGGAATTGAGGGAAGATCCAAGGCCAAAAATTATGGGATTTCATAGCTGTACAGGATCGTGGTGGCCAGAGACTTGTAGGAAGCCTGCAGACTGTGACTCTCCTTAGTCCTGCCTGGGTCTCCTCTCTAAGCCTAGATCCAGACTCCACACTGCACCTTGGTGACTGCCTATAGCTTCCCTACTGCCTCCACCCCACACCCCTGTAACTGTCCCCTGACCTCTAGGCAGAGTCACGCTCACCCCTCAGGGATCCATAGCAACAGTGTGGAACCTAAGCCAGGTCATGCCAGGCAGGGAGCTACTGTGACAGCAGGAGCTGCCCACATGCCTTCCACCTCCCCTTCTTTCCTTTTTCAGTCCTCCAGATTGGGGGATGGGTGAGGCTGTGAACCTAGGTCTGCCTGGCACTGAGGGGGCTCAGCCAGGGTGTGCTCAGTGTGCGAAACAATGAATAAGAGACCTTGCCTGCCTCGGAACTTGGTACCACTTGTTGGTTGACATTTTTTTCTTTGATTTGTGTAAGAAAATTTTGAGGGTCACAGGGAAGCACCTGGGATGCTTTGCCCTTGATCTCACTTCCCCAGCCAGGACTCAAACACCAGCTTGCCTCTACCTCAGTGCTTAGTTCCTACTTGGAGCCTCCCCGCCCCCATCATGCTGGGACACTGCCCCTGTCAGAATAGCAATACTTTTCTCTCTAAAGAGCAACTTTCTCCTCTCCCTCCCAGCAAGCACCACCCAGGATTGCTAGAATGTTCTGAGTAGGGGGAGTTTCCCAGGGACAAACATGGGGCAGGGTCCAGTAGCCAGGCCTTTTCTTTCCAAAGATAAAGATGGAGTCCTCACAATGACGGTATGTTACACTTCTATAGCCATTTCTGGGTGGGACAGGAAGCAGTTGAATGGCAGAGAAGGTGGTGTCCCCAAGGGTCTACCTCTGACTCTGTCCCCACAGTGTGGCCAGATGATCACTTAGCTGGGAGCCACAAGTCTCAGGACTTAAGCCTGGCTGTGCCCCAGCCCTCTGGGGAGACCCTGGTCCCTAATGACTTGTCCACTCTAAATCATCCCGCACCAAGGGACACCATTAAACTGCTCAAAGTCAGAAGATGGGAGGATACTGAGGGCTTGGGGGAGTCTGCATCCAGGTTGGGGAGTGGCTAAGCAGGGGGCCAAGAGTCTACCCCATTGCCCAAGTCACCCCATAGAGACTTCGCTTAGTAAGCCCACAAAATCCTGTGCTTGTTCTTGGCCCACTCGTTCCCCAACCAAAGTTACTCTACTATCACCCCAAAAGATGGAACTCTGAGGCTCAATCCTAGTGCCAACTGGTGCCCCAGAACCCTGTAGCTCCTCAGGTTCCATCCTGTTGCCAGGGAAGGACCTGGGCTGAGCCCAGAGCTCAGCCTGGCACAAGAAGCCCCCTGGAGTATGTAATGGGCCCTTTCTTTGTACATGACCTCAGGCAGACCTTCCTCTAGAATCCAAAGACAAGAGGTCCAGCCCCTCCACTATTGCCTATTGCCCAGGTGGGCCCTGAGGGTCAGGGAGTGGGGAGTGACCAAAGTCCCAGGGGCTGGCAGGGATGAAGGGTGAGGGGCTTAGCAGCTACTCCAGACAACAGAAATCAAATTGGCCCAACCACAGTGTACAGTTCAAGCTCAAGAAGAGACACAAGCTTGGAATGCTAAACCACACAGAAATGCATTCAGACAACAAAATGAGAAAGAGAGGGAGTGAGGTAGGGCTTGAGGGCTGGAGCAGGGGATGGAGAGGAGGAAGGAAGGGCAAGGGAAGGTGGGAAGGAGAAAAGATGAACCAGCAAGATTGGAGGTCACAGGGCAGTGGTGGGGGTGTGGTGGG